GTTTCAAATCTTTAGCCCTCCAGGTACGCGTGCTTCTAGCCGTGAAAATTTTTTGCAGGTAATTTGCTAACTCGGGAATCAGAAACTCAAGGAAGCTGAAATTTTGAGGAAATGTTTCCTGCTCACGCACAATCGATTGACTTCAAAATCAGCTCTCACGTGTACATGTTTTTGCCTGCGAAATTTTTTTAAAAACTTTTTGTGGGTAAGTTGCTAACTCGGGAATCTGAAAAGCTAAAATGCTAAAATTTTAAAGGGATGTTCCTCGTTCACGAAGAGCTAGTTAGACTCAGTCTTGACGTGCTTTTGGTTCATACGTACGAGCCCATGAAGGTTTTTGGCGGGTAAGCTGCTAATTCGGGAAGTAGAGAAGCTAGGAGGCTGAAATTTTGAGAGGTTGTTTTCTGACAGTCCTGGTGGCCAATGTCAATTCTCTTAGCTAGGAGCGTCTGCCGAAAAAAACAGTGCCGCTACCAACAAAAGCCCGCGGGGAAACTGCGCAAAAAACGCAACTTCGCACTGGTAATCGGTGCACTGGCTAATGATTTGCAACTGTGCATTGCAAAAACTCATTCTGTGGGGGGAGCTGCAGCACCTCCGCCACCACAAGAAGAACGTGTCGTCCCAAAGGTCACTAATTACATCTCAGTGACTGCATAATTTAATCTAATCCTACCATCAGGCATAATCCATCGTATATCACAGCTTCTTGGCCACTTTCCTAAAAGTAACTTACAACGGTCTCTTTCATCATATGTCGGATGAATCCCATGGTGGATAATTACTAATTTTGTTGTTATGCTTCTAACCCTAATCTTGTAATTGCATGAGATCATCCATCATCACGTTATAACCTTTGAACCTCCTCCCTTCTCTAAGAGGGGGTTGAGCTCATAAATGACCAATAACTGTACGCCTCACTTAGATACCTCACTCAATCGCATGGACACTTTTCCAGACTCTTAGTGTTCATCCCAACGGCAGAGACGAGCAGCGGCTCTGGATTAACGTCGTCATGGCGAAGTCGACGTACGGGTCTCATCGGCGTCAATGCATGATAAGGGCTTCGTTTATTTCCCAGTTCTTTTTCGCCTTGCTAGGCGTGCCTTGTGCATTGGATTTTCCCAAGGAGGATTTGCTGCTAATTAAAGAAAGGGGTGGTATGTGCCAATCTGTCGTAGCTTCAGTATCTGTGAATGTGTAGGCGTTACCGTGTTTTATCTGTATGTGTAACGTATGGCCTATTAGCCCAAAATTTGAGATCTCCTGGGCAGGAGTATTGAGCTAGTAGTGTGTCTGAGCTAGTAGTGTGTATTGAGCTAGTAGTGTGTCTGACCTGTGGCTTTCTGCTGCTTTTCAAAAATTTTTACTACAGTTAGATACCTCGATTCGCTTGTCGAACTGGGGCAATTCGCGGTTTTAATTCGCTTGCTATATCCTCAGTAGGATGAGGAAGAAAGAGGAGCTAGCATGTATTGAAAAGGCAAACGTATAGGTATAAGCGATAACACATAAATTTTTGTTATATTTCTTTTGCTGTTCTGCGTTTC